ATTTTCTTTGCCTGGCCACTAAACACAAAATCTCACAGTGCCGGCAACGCCAAACTAAAGTTTGCAAAATTTGCAAAGGTAAACATTCATTAGAAGCCATATGTTTTAAATCCAGTTTCGATAGTCAAAAATACACCAAGTGATAAAAAGGATAGTATATCAATTTCGAAAAATGATTCACAAACTAAGGAACAGAAAGAAGAAATTGTTTCGGCCGTTTCACATAATCCAAATAACAAAATTCTTTTACAGACTTGCACGATAAAAGTTAAAACAGCTAAGGAAAAGGTGTTTGCCAGACTTCTCTTGGATAGTGATGAAGTATGAAAATTTTTTGTGCTCGCGAGTTAGCGGACAGATTAAACCTCGAATTCATAAGAAAAGAAAAATTGACTGTCTACACTTTTGGGAATACTTCTCCCATCCAAAAAAATTATGACGTAGTTAAATTAACTTTAGAACATAGAAGTTCTCCCGATTCTAGAATAGAAGTTGAATTATTAGTAACTGATCATATATCAGGTACAGATATGCCTCCTCCTAAATCAGAAGAAATTAAGCAAAACAGACAATTAAAAAATTTGCTTCTCGCAGATTTTGCCGACTGTAAAAAACTCATTGCCATTCTAATTGGTGCAGATTATTATTACAACATAGTAATGGGACACGTTAAATGCTTAAGCAAAAATCTTGTTGCAGTGGAAACTATTTTCGGCTGGTGCCTACATGGACGAAAAGGTGGACGATGAGGATGTCTCTTTAGCTTTCAATGTAGTTGTAGGGGAAGATTTGATTTCCAAACAAATAACAAAATTTTGGGACTTGGAAAACTCAGGACTTATTGATAAGAGGGAAAACTTCGATTCAACTGGAAATGAAGTCGTCGAATATTTCGAATCAAATATAGCATATGAAAATTCTCGCTATAAAGTTAGATTGCCTTGGAAACATGACACATCAAATCTAAATAATAATAGGGAAATCGCAGAACAAAGATTTCATCGACTTAGAAAACGATTTAAAAAAGATCCTAATCTATTTTCCGAATACAGGAACGTATTAAGAGATCACTTAAAACAAAATATTATCGAACCAGTTTCAGAAATTTCAAATGAAGAGGATGTCGTGTTTTACTTGCCACATAAGGAAGTTATACGCGAGGATCGAGCTACAAGTAAATTACGTATTGTTTATGATGCATCATCGCATGCCCCAGGATCCATTTCTTTAAATGACTGTCTACATGTTGGGCCAAATTTATACCCTGAAATATTCGAAATATTGTTAAGATTTCGGTATAATCTAATAGCCTTCACCGCAGATATAAAACAAGGCTTTTTACAGATTCTCATACATGAAAAAGATCGAGACGCAACCAGGTTTCTGTTTTCCGATTTCCCTAATGATGAAACCATTTCTCCTGACATATATAGGTTCACTAGAGTTTTATTCGGAATAAATAGTAGTCCATTTCTATTAGCCGCTACCATTAAACATCATCTGAAAAAATATAATAAACTTTATCCTACAACGGTTAACTTTTTGAATGAGAACGTATATGTAGATGATGTGATTGGAAGCCAACCAACGATCAATGAAGCATTAACTACGAGTCTAGAATCGGTCCAAATATTTAAGGAAGCAAGCATGCAGCTCAGAAATCACAAATGGCATAGTAACTCGAGACAATACTACATGAATTGTGGGTAAAACAGGGTATCGTTCCAGATGAAAATCCTGAAGATTTTAATAGAGAAAATTTCCCATTTAAAGTCTTAGGTATGGCATGGGATAATTCAAAGGATTTACTGTATTTTGATGTTCGAAACCTATTGTCTTTCACATCTAAACCAATAGAAACAAAACGATTTCTTCTACAAGTGTTGGGTCGGATATTCGATCCGATTGGAATTTTAGGACCTTTCACTGTTAGAATAAAGTGCTTAATACAGAAGATTTGGTCGTCACAAATAGATTGGGATGAACCGTTACCTGAAGATTTGTCTTCTGAATGGAGAAAGTGGTGTGAAGAATATGTCTGGAGAAAGTGGTGTGAAGAGCTACCTCAAATGGCTGAATTCTCCATCTCTCGTTACCTTTTCATGCCACTCGAACTTTAATGTCGAAAATCTCGAATTACATTGCTTTTCAGATGCAAGTGTCAAAGCCTATGGTACAGTCGCATATTTACGTTTCACGACAGAAAGTAAAGAAATCAAAACGGCCTTTGTATCTTCTAAAAATAGGATAGCCCCACTAAAATCCCTTACTTTACCGAGGTTAGAATTAATGGGGGTTTTGTTATCAGTTAAGTTAGTCAGCAATATTCTGAAAGCACTGAAATTGAGAATTCCGTGCTATTTTTGGACAGACTCAACAATTACTTATTTTTGAATCCAGAAACAACCTGAAGCCTTCAAACCCTTTGTCAGGAATCGTGTCGAAGAAATACAAAAATTGAGTTCACCTCAAGATTGGCATTATTGCCCAGGTGTCGACAACCCTGCGGATCTCGTACCTCGGGGAACGAAGATTTCCAAGTTAATAAATGAAACCATTTGGACGCAAGGTCCCCAATGGCTTCAACTCCCTCCCGAACTTTGGCCAAGATTAGATATTAAAGAAACAATAGATGAAAACAAGCTGGAATACCGAAAGGGATCCGGTGATATACATCAACTTGAATGTACAATCGAAAAAAGTGCAGATGATCTTTTCGACATATCAAAATATAGCAAATTAGAGAAGGTGTTAAGAGTCACTGCTTGAACAACACGTTTCGTTAGAAAATTAAGAAAAACTAGCGACATTCAAGGAACTCTCACAGCTGAAGAGTTACAAGAAGCAGAAAATTTCTGGATAACATCAGAGCAAAAGAAGTTTTTTGTCGAAGAATATAAATCCCTCAAAGAAGGTAATTCAGTTGGAAAAAAATTCTCCTTTGTACAATTTTCTTCCTTACATTGATGAAAAGGAAATCATGAGGTTGAGAGAAAGACTGGAATTTTCTGACTTCTCACTATATAATAAACATCCAATAATCTTACCTAAAAATTCTCGTCTAACGATTCTAATTGTATGCAAAGAACATGAGAAGATAATGCATGGAGGAATTGCTGCGACTTTAGCTAATGTCAGATCACGATTCTGGATTCCTAAAGGACGACATTTAGTCAAAAAAGCATTAAAAGGTTGTATAATTTGCCAAAAATATTTAGCTAAACCAGCAGACCAGATGACAGCACCCTTGCCAAAGGATAGAATCCAAGAATCGCCTCCATTTGCAGTCTGTGCAATTGATTTCGCCGGACCAGTTTACGTAAAGAGTTCTAAAGACATTCGAAAATCCTATATTGTTTTCTTCGTTTGTCCACTAACCCTAGCTGTACACTTAGAACTTGTATCAGATATGTCAACAGAATCCTTTTTACTTGCATTTCGCAGATTTTTGAGCAGAAGAGGAAACTGCGTAATCATCTACTCTGACAAGCCAAGACCTTTAAGAGGACAAAGAAAGAACTTGAGATTTTTTCAAAAGTTTTAAAAGATGACAAATTCAAGAATTTCATTGCCAAAGAAAGAATCCATTGGAAATTTATAATCGAACGAGGCCCATGGTGGGGAGGGTTTTATGAGAGACTTGTTAAATTTGTTAAAGAATGTTTAAGAAATATCGTAGGAAAAGCATTGTTGACTTTCGAAGAAATGTCTACACTACTTGTCGAAGTGGAGTCATTCTTAATTCACGACCTCTAAGTTACGTTTACAACGACAATGACGAGCCGCAACCGTTGACACCAATGCACTTCTTAAACATTGGACAAACTGATTTGAAGTATCCTTTGACCTTTGCTAGAATCATCGGTAGCGAAACGACAAGAGAAACGCTGTTAAAAAGAAAGCGTTATCAAGAATTGCTGTTAAAACAGTTGTGGTGGAAATGAAAGCAACAATATTTATTAGATCTTAGAACTGCCCATTTCTTGAAGAATCCGCAACTTCAACCAGAACTAAAAGTAGGAGATGTTGTTTTAGTCGAAGGAGATAATAAAAACAAACTGTTATGGAAACTTGGTAGAATCATAAAAATTATTCCTGGACGTGATGGTAAAGTCCGATCATTCGAATTAAAAACTGGTAATGAGATTTTGAAACGTACTGTTCAACATCTACATCCTCTTGAACTTTAGATATTTTGAACTTTAACGATTTAGTTATTTTTTTTTCTTTTTCTGTCTATTAATGATTAAATTGAATATCGTTAGTTACGTTTGTTCAGTTAAGTGGAAAATATTTTTAAATTTAGTTCATTTATTAGTTGTAACATTTATTATTTGATACCTGCATTGGAATTGAAGTGTTTGACTAATTAGTATTTTTTAATATTTTTATAGAATAGTGATTTATGTACTTGATTGTATGTATAACTGAGTTAGATGAACTTTTGTCAGAGTTCAGGTGGGGAGTGTGTTAAGGAATATTCTTTGATATCGCCAAGAGATGGCGTTAGAAGTCCATCTATTGGCTTACTTAACCTTTCCCCTTTTGAACACGTGACTTGAAAAAATATTCTTCTTCTTGAAAGTAGAATCTCGATGCACTACGCAATAGAATTCGATTTAGATTTTAGCTGGAACTATTCAGTTCTTGCCTTTTGAGCATTAAATATTCGATTCAGGCATTTTAGTCTACATTGTATATATGTAAATATTAAGTTTAATTAAAATTTATGGAAAACCCTCCAGCCCATGCATCTCATTTTTGGATTATGAGTGATTCGACTTTGATCTAGAACTTTCGTTACAAATGTTCAACAATATTTTTTTTTAATCATTAAACAAGAATAAATGAGCAACTAAAGCGTCATTCTGAATTTCAAATAGTATTGCACAGAATAAAAAAAAATCAAAACTGGCATTTTTAGAATCTGCATATGTTTCAAAAATAAAACTGAGATATTGTCTGCTATTAAATCTGTACAGCTTTCTGCTGATACAGTAATGAGAAGGATACGAGTTCTGATGTTACTCACAACTTTAAAAAAGTTGCAGCTATTTCTCCTACAGCTTGACGAATCGACTGGTATAGTTGATACAGCTCAGTTGACCGTTTTTTCAAGAGTGGTGTTTGATAATTTCGAAATAGGAGAGGAGCTGGTAAAGATTATATCATTAATAGGACGCACTACAGAACAGGACATATTTTTAGGAGTTAAAGATCTTATTAACTCTGGAACTATTCCTATAAATGCGTTGGTGGGCTTTGCAAATGATGAAGCTTCTGTGATGGTAGGCAAAGAAAAGATATTCGAAACCCTTTGTGGTAAAGACCACAGCTCTCCGAAACCTCTGTCTTACCATTGAGTAATATACCAGGAGTCATTGCGTGAAACGTTTTTAAGCATGATGTAAGGAAATCGGTCATTAAAATATGAAACAAAATTAGAGTACATGCAATTCAGAGACGTTTGTTCAGAGCACTGATTGATGAACTGGATTGCCAGTATGGTGATCTAGTGCTTCATAGTGAAGTTCGTTCGTTGGTTGAGGAGAGGCAGAGTTTTACAGTGTTTTCAACCGTTTCTCCTTACCTTGGTAGGATTGCTGAAAGAATGAAGCGAATCCTTTCGCGAAGTAGAAGATCCGGCTTGGCTACAGAATTTTGCTTTTCTCGCAGACATCGCCAAAAAATTAATACTTTACTTACAACTTCAAGGTAGATATAATGATATTGGAGGAACAACGTCAGATGTTGCTTCATTCTCCAAAAAACTGGAACTTTGGGATAAAAATATCAATCCAAGGTGAATGCATTTACCTTGCCTGTTTGAAGCAAACTCTTGAAAAGAAAGGGTCTTCAACGCCTTTTTAAAAAAGCAAACAATACGTTGAAATTATTTCAGATTTGTAAAGTTTACAAACGCTTCCAAGATGTCAAAACGATTTTAATTGTTTTACAGTTTATCAAACTACCTTTTGTAGAGATTGATGCTGAAAAGTTCTCTACGTGTGTCATGGAGCATTTTAATTTTCAAGAGGATAATGCTGCAGTGGACTTGGAACTGACTGATTTTCAAAATTATTTATTTGTAAAATTGCTTTCTTCAAGTTCTGAAAATATTTAGCCTCTTGTTTCTAAAGAAAAGTATCCAATTTTGGTCGAGGTTTGTCTCAAAGAAAAGGCAATGTTCAACTGTATATATCTGTATGAAATTTCCTTTTCCACTGTGAAATTTATTGAAAATAATACAGAAACAAACTCCGTGATGAACATTGGACAAATGTACTTAAATGACCGCCACTAGCTACTCTCCCAACATTAAAAAATCTTGCTGATGGCAAAAACGAGTACCATCCTTCTCATTAAAATATCATTAAAGGCTAATAAAAATATCTTATGAGATTTGTTATTTACTTATTACTAATTACATTTCAATTTTTTATGTACAACTCAATTTCTTTTTGTTAAGTACAGTTTAATTAAGACTGACTTCATATTTACTAGAAATGCAAGTTAATAGAAAATAAGCAAATGTAACTTTTTTTTTAAAGCTGGTAGTTTTGTTGCTCACAGTAGGATTTAAAATCGGTGCGATAGCTCAGAAGCTTCGTGAGTCTAGCAACTACTGGTGTATGGTATATCTATGATATCTATAAAAAAGTTGCTTCTAAGACAGCAACGTGTTCCTTCAATAATTTCGTTGTGACAAACGATTGGTTTTATTGTTAAATTTATTGATATAATAATAATTACACATTGCAAACATTTTTATGCCATATTTCGCTGGTTTGCTTTTGACGTATTGGCGAAACTGTCATTTTCCACGAAATGGTTCTAGTTTTCATTGTTAGTACAATACTCACATACACTACTGTTTTTCAAAAATTAATAACTAATTTTTCGAAAATGTTTCTTATTGGGGGTAATCTATCAAATTTTGTTCTCGCTTGTCCACTGTGTATGCCATAAGTTTTCCTTTTTGTCAAAGCATATGAGAGATCTCACAACTTCCAGTCATATCAGTCAGATTCATAATGTAAAATGACTGGGTACGTTAGCATATCCAGTGGGCATGCAGTACGCTAGCACATGCAGAAAAACTTACTCAGACTCACTATCTCATGGAAAAAAATATGGTGCAGAGAGCACATGACATCCTTGTACGAAATATTAAATTATATCCATCTTTTGCTGCATATCAGTTAAACTTATTTCCTCGAATTTCATTAGAGACATATTTTTCATTCAATTAATTCCGTTCTCACTTTGCAGCAAGACAAAAATGCATAAAAACTCAAAATATCTTCATTAAAAATTTAAAAACACAGGAAAAATGCAACACCAATTACAGTAAAACAGTTTTAAAAATAATTTTTACAATTAAAATTACAGTTTCTATGCAAAAACAAGCAATTCGGCCAGCAGACAAGCAGGCAGATTTTTCAGTGCACGAAAATGAAAGTTTAATTTTAATCCCATTCGACTAAAAGACACTGAAGGTGCAGAAACTGAATTCACTATTCTGCTAAGTTTCAAATGTAAACAAATATGGCTGCTATAGTAAACAAAATTTATTCTGAGCCACACTAAAACAACTTTTAAATTGTTCATAATTGTATAACTATAGCACACAAATTAACTAAAGGCATAAAAACTTAACTGGAAGAAAAGAATTACATAACTCAATTATTTTCAAAGGCAAAAATGCACAATATACCAATGGATAAGAATAAAAAATCCTGAGCTCACCGAGCCGACGTAGAGAGGTAACGAAAGAAACTGCTTCTGATTCCATTATAATAAATTTTACAATCCGTTTGGGGAAAAACTGTCTTTTATTCTTTCCTTACGTAGAAATGTCACGCCAAAACATCATTAAATTTCATTGGATAGCGGTAAAAATGGATATTTTTGTTGAAATATGATACCCGGAACTTTTCATGATTACAATATTTCCTTTACTTCGTACAAGGAAGTAAAAAACATATTTTAAGAGTTTCTGTCATTAGGAATCCCTCTCACTGGATTATCAAATTAGGTGCTGGAAGTGACAAGTGCGAGTTTTGAGAAATTCCTAAAATACCTGCGAATAATAGAAAACATCGGGACAATAATACCCAGTGTTTGTGTTCACGAGTTAAGAGAAAAATGCTTTAATCCGAGATTTCAGTAAAAGAAAAAGATTATTTGAATGAGCATGAACATTCTGAACCAAAAGCCATAGTAGACGGCAGAAGTTTAAATGAAGATGATGCAATCTGTGTTCGTGTTCAGATGCATAGTTTCATATTTCTCGTAGATGTGCAATATGAGAAAGAAAGCGCAATTACTTTTGAAAGAATAGTAACACGCAGCGTAGAACGGGTTTATCAGAGGATACGCCTACAATAAGCTCGAAGGAAGCATAGCAAAATCGTTGACACTATAGAAATTGCTGATACCACACAAAAAAAAACAATTTAAAATTCACAAATGTTCTTTCTGAAATCACCAGCTGTCTCCAAATTGAATGAATCTAATATGATTTCTTATTTAAATACAAAATGCAGTTAAGTATTCTTCATTTATTGTTTCTAATAAAGTGAGAAATAATTCATTTCGTAATATTATAATTGTTAAAATAAACCGCAAGGGTTTAAAAATATTTTCCATTATTTTCCTGTGAAGCTTCGCATATATCAAATTGCTAATTTTTTACAATATTTCAGTTATAACAGGTGTTAAATTCTTCCAATGTCAAGGTAACTTACTATCGCATCATTCAGCTCAAAACAGAATTTTAAACATGTTTTGTATAATAGGAGAATTATTTTAAAAATTGGACTGTATTTTTGTTCGAAAAAGTATTGAAGTTTTCTTTTATTTCTTCATTTACTAAGAATTTAAATGTTAATGAATTCCATAAAAAATTTTTAAAACAATAGAAGTGTTCCGTACATTACTTTTACTCAATAGAAACGTTACCAGCATTAGTTTGAGAGTAGTAAAACTCTTAACGATTTTGATTTTGTAATTTGTAATACAATGAAGACTCAGAGACCTATGCGGAATGTATAACCACAAAATTATCAGATGTGCTATGGGAATAATTTTATGGATATAATGCAGTTTTATTGTTGATACTCGAAGTATTTAGAATATGTGAACATCTGAAATTTTATGTTTTGCCAGATTTAAGGCTTTAGCTATAGAATGGAAAACAATAAAGAACTAAAGTAAGTAAAGGAATAAATATGTGTACCGACAACTTCTTTTATTAAAGCCGGGAAAAAGATCTTGTTCCCGGTAGCTAGAGCAGCTTGTTCTCAGAATTTTAAGCTTCATTTTCTCTCTTATCTATAATACTGGCTTAGATCATACGTGAACAAAATTAGCAATACAATAACAATGCTAACCACAATAATATTGTCGCGTGCGTACGGGTTCGTTATGAAATGAATGCACAAGTCCGATGAAAAATTAACAAAAATTTATTATTATCACAACAGAAATGCTTAAATTTTCTCAAATTATCATGCAGTATCACAATATATCACAGTAGTTATCTTTTAACTACTCAAATGTACAATAGAACGTAATTCAAAACAGCTAAAGAACGCTAATCCACGAATTCGCTATAATCAACAACGGCAGTTTTCTAAACAACAACAAACTAAGCAACTACTACAAACTGAGATGTTTTCCTCCTTTTATAAGATTTTAAAATCACGCGCTAGAATTTTCCAGTACTTTCTCGAAATCAAAAAGAGATATTTATTTATTTAATGCACGCGCTCTTGTATTTTCAATTTTCCGGCTTAGCTTTCTTTTAATATTCGTCACGCACTGCACTGCGCGAGAAATAAAACCATTTAATTTATAATTGAACTAACATTAGCTTTTTAAATACCAAATTCGTAACAATATATTATTCATAAATACAGTGCATTACTAGACAAAATAAACTTTTCATGTGCTACTTAAGATATATACAAAATTTTAATAATTTACGAAATATTCAGAATAATCAGGCTCTGATGTCAATTTTCTAACGTTGAGTTGAAAATCAATTGCAGCATACTCCATCTACGTAAAGTAAATGACTTGGTTGTATATGTTTCGACTATTGTACAGGAGATAAATATTTGTTTTTAAAGCAATTTTAGAAGAACGATCAGATTCACATAAATTAGTCTGATGAAAGATGATCATACTATATTGTGCTAAGTTCATGAAAAAGTTAAATATTTTTGCTCTATTCCTAAAAGCTATCTGGGGCATTTCAGAACGAATGATGTTTAAGCTGCAGACGTAGAATTGTAATTTACTAGATAAACAGAGCT